TGGAGGTTGAAGAACAACCTCTGGAGCGTCCAAGCGCTATTGTCGCGCGAGGCTTCCGCCTCGGTTGGGATCTGGTAAACGGCCTTCCAAGCGGTCAGTCCGAAGCGGTGGCAACAACAGGCGGCGAGGACAGCGTACCTTGCGGAAGCGGTTGGTGAAATACAGAGACTGCAGAAGCGAATTGAGGTAGCATGTAGCACCTTGGTTCTTCAGACCCACCAGGCCAGTCTCCTTCTTCGAGTCGTAACTAGACACGGGGTTAGCGATGCGACTTCAGCGACTCGCCTTCGAACTGCATACTTCTGGAAGTTGTGCCATAAGACACCCGTCGGGTCCTTAACCACGCGCACGTAGGCTGTAATCTTGGCTTCGTCGTTCTGCACGAGGGGCACGCCACGGCCTTCCCACGGTCGGCTGAACAGCCGGTGCAGTTCGCAGAATCTGGTGAAGCCCCAATCTCCCTCCTCCGCATGGAACCGATGGGTCGCGACTATATCCCAATTAGTCCGAGAGAGCGAGCTCGTTGGGGAGGCAGAAGCGGCGTACCGTGATGAACGTAGATGGAGGGATCGTTCACATTGGACAGGACGAGTGCAAACTGCACACAGGCGTACCAGTTGGCCGGCGGTTCGCCGTCCCAAGCATGCTCCAGGTAGAAGGAGGCATGCTCCACATGGTTTCCGTAGGGAAAGAACAGGATTCGCCTGCGGACAACAGCAAGTCAGAGTCGCTCTCAAGGGCGGTGATATTCCAACCAAGGGATCCGTCGGGGCACCCACCAAGGGAAGCCCGCGCACTGGAAGACCGGGCCGTGCTCCTTCTTCTTCAACTTCCGCCAATCCTGGATATGCCATGTGTGATAGGTCTCATCTTCGGTTTCCAGATCCGGATCTTTCGGGAAAATCCGAGCCATCATTGCTGCATCTGGTTGCGGAGAAAGGATCAGTTTCTCGGACGTGGAGGGGAGGGCTGCAGTTGTGCGGCGGCGAGCCGTCCCACGGCGGGGACTTTTGGGAAGCCGGGCCAAGTCCATCGCAAGACGGCAGGATGCGCACAACAACGATGGGGAGGTGTTATATGGGCCTTACGGTCATCTGCGGAGGGCTCCGACTCCGGTTCATCCGATCCGGAGCGGGAGACGACGACATCGTCGGTTCGATCCTGGTGATACTGCTCATATTCGTCGACGAGCATATCACTGTCGGCGGCCTGGAGACGACGGGGAAAGGTTACAGGATCAGTACCAGTAGTTTTTTGCGAGGGGAGAGATGGGATGAAACGGTGGCTAAGATCTCCGCGAAAAGTGGTTGGGAGGCGAGGGTGATTTGAGACCAGAACTTACGTTGTCCATGTGAGGTAAAAAGTGCGATCCACGCACTGAGATAGCGGGTCACTCTTTCTCGCGGGCGATTACAAGGGAAGGAGATAACCCGTTGGGGTAAGGGCAGGGAGAATGGGGGGAAGTGAACAGTGAATAAAGGGAATTGAAGAAATGGGGGGGGAAGGTCGGAAAATTGGGCGAGCCAGTCCACAACTGGGGGTGAAGAATGAATGAATAAAGATTGACACCGGGAAGTGAGAGGAGGAAGAGGAAGAAGCAGAAACAGAAGCTGATCCGTCTGGGCTGGAGCCGACTTGGAGGCAGTCCACAGACAGTCCACAGGCAGTCCACAGGCAGTGGGATTCGAAGCTAGTGGCGGAGTTGCCAAAACCCAATAATAACGGCCATGCGGGACACTGCACCAGCTCTTTATTATTATTAAGATGATCTTCTCTTTTTTTTGTCTTTCGACTGGGTTCGCAGATGAATCCAGTGAGTGGGAGTGTGTGTGGTTCGATGGACACTGGATACCTTACTCCGTAGTCAGTTACTGTAGCAGCAATGACAAAGATCTTTTACGGTCGCAGGCGCCAATTTCCTTGCTTGCTACTGAATCAGTGTTTGTTCTCTTCGTTCCATCCTAGTGTATGTTTCACTGGACTTTTGGTGCTAGAGATGCATAATGACGGTGTCTCAGCAGCCGGGTTTCGTTAAGTTACTGGGTTTACTTAATCTTTCATAGTAGGTAGCACTGCAGTGATGGGACACTCCTCGACCGGTCTCTTCATCTTATCTTTCACTCACTTTCTTTTCTTCTTGCTGCTGTCATTGCATTCCGTAGACCTACCAAGGAGAATCACTCATAGTTCGAGGAGACAACGTGGATGGGAAAATCGGCTAGACGAGCCACATACCGAACCGTGATATCACCGCCTTTTCTGCAATGCTGAGTAGTTCAGATCCGAGGCAGGCTGCAAGGTCGATGTATGGATGAGGCTGAGAGAGAGGATGGAGATGAATGGTCTGGATTCAAGAGACAAGGCATTGTACCTGTCCTTATAAACTCTCCCTCTTTCTTCTTGCATATTAGGTATTTATCATGCTCTATCCTCAAGTACAGAGTACAGTACTATCTATCCCTTCCACCGACCTGTCGCCTGATCCCTCAGGCATCATCAGGCAACTTCAGGCAACAATCCACTCCGGGCAGATATGACGATAGAAGGCTCGCCTCTCGTAGGGGTTTGTTTCTTCAGCAATCACGCCCCCCATTAGCGTCATGCTCGACCGGATTTCCATCCATTGATCTGTGAGTCAATCCATCGGGAAACAGTCTATTGCCGAACAAGGCACGTCACATGCCAGTCACGTCGGCCTGCGAGCTTCCTCTCTTCTTTTTTTTTTTGGCTGCTCTCACCGCCCGGTCGAGGAAACCGGCCGCATTTGCCATCCTTCAAGGAAACAATACACTATATAAATGAGCTGATCATCATACCATGGTGAATTGGGCCATTCGCTGTGGGCCCTTCGATCCTCGCCTCTGACAACCCGCCATGTATGAGAGGGTTTGTCCGCTGCTGAATACCCGTGGATCGTCTGACTCCAGCAGACCACCGCTCCTGCTGTGTTGTATCACCGCGAGTACTGAGTAACTCAATGCCACCCCCTCAATTGACCGACCCTTCTCCGTTCTCAGCAGCCGCAATATGAGCCCGAGCCATCCAGCCCGATGCTGGCGTGCCCTCCGCCGGAGCTGTTTGTCAGCTCCGCGGTTCTACTCTACTAGCTACCAAGCCTACAGTCCCCCACCCTGGCGACCTGTCACAGCATTGGACGAGTATGTGGTCTTCCCTTCGATCGCATCGCATCCACCTCGGGGCTAATCTCATTCTCTTGCAGATGGGTTGAGCGCGACATCCGTCCCATCAGTCTACGACAGTTGACTTTCTTCGGACGAACATTGACCGAATCCCGCCTCATCAGCTCGGCCAACTACGTGCGAACGGAGCTGCCCACTCGGTTAGTACTGTACCTTGCTTAGAACTTAAGCTTTCTGTTCGCGGGGTGGATATCCGACTAACTCTCGCCTCGTACACCCAGACTTGCACATCGTCTCCGCGACATCCAACGACTACCATATGTGGTGGTTGCGAACCCGCATCTTTCGCTGGTGTACGAGCTCTACTACAAAGCCTTTGAACGATTTCGGGCCATCCCGGAAATTAAGACCCTCGATGACAACGACCACTTCTGCGAGATCCTCCGCAAAACCCTGCAGGAGCATCTGGTGGTGATCCCGAAACTGGCCATGGGCGTTTTGGAGTGCCGCGAGCTGGTGACGTCGGAAGTCCTGGATCATTTTATGAACACCCTGTTGAGAGCGGTAGGCGCCCCCAAAGTTGACTAGACGGACCAAGCTGATGGTTTCGTCCTAGAGAATCTCTCGTCGAGTCATTGCGGAGCAGCATCTTGCATTGACCGAGACCTTCAATTCACCGTGGCACTTCCCCGGCTCGCAGGATCGCTCGGACCTCAACGCCGACTACGTGGGCGAGGTGTTCCTCAAGTGCAATGCCAAGGAGGTGGTGGAGCGCTGCGGGAAGCTGGCGCAGGATATGATGCGGCAGACGTCGGGATCGGACAAGATCCCCGAGATCACGGTGCAGGGGCATCTGGAAGCCACCTTCCCGTACATGCTCAGCCATCTGGAGTATATCATTGGCGAGCTGCTGCGCAACTCCATCCAGGCCGTGAGTGAAAAGTACCACGGTCGGGCGGAGAAGCCGCCGCCGATCGAGGTCCTCATCTGCGAGGCGCCGCAGCATGTGATCATGCGCGTCTCCGACCAAGGGGGCGGCATCCCGCGGGAGGTGCTGCCGTACCTGTGGTCGTTCAACAAGGGGCCGCACAGCAAGTCGCATCTCCGCAATCTGGGCAAGGTTCCGGCGATGGCGGCCACCCTGCAGGAACTCAGCGTGCCGACGGAGAGGAAGCACGCGGACAAGGAGACGTTCCGGGAGAGCTCGCTGGACTCGCTGACCTCGCGGCGGCCGGATCTGCGGCTGGGGATCGGACTGCCGATGAGCCGGGTGTACGCGGAGTACTGGGCGGGGAGCCTGGAGCTGCACAGCCTGGAAGGGTATGGGGTGGATGCATTCCTGCAGATCTCGAAGTTGGGCAATCAAAACGAGCAGGTGACGACGCGAGCATCGATTGATGCGGTATAGGATGAGTTGTTGTTTTAGTCTGGTCAGGGCTGCAGGTGGAGCCGTCATACAAGTATAAGATATGATACATACATAGTACATAGGTACAGTATATTACTGCATGTTAACATGAGAACTAAATTAGTCATTGGCGCAATAAAACAATCAATCAACCCATGTACAACAACTCATCACTGATTGAGTACTCGATAAAAGCATCAGCCACAATGGCCCCACCTATACTTAATCCACGCGCGAGGTACCCCGGGAAATCCATCCACTAACAACCGTCAAATCACACATGAAAAGTAAAGTCAGTGAATCAATCCCAGCCAAGCCCTCCAGCAGGCCAACCTCACATCGATTCCGTCCCCATGACGTCAAACCAGGGATGTTGTCCCCTTGCCGGTAGTGCCATCACATACCAATCAACCCTGTCAGTGACCTCCATCTATACTTTCCCCTATAAACAGTACCTAGTAACTATTGTACTACGAGTATCCCGTCCCAGTGACGTCGACAGCCATCTACTTCTTGCCTTACGACAGGGCTAACCAACTAGCCCCAAAAAAACAAAAAACAAAAAAACCACAAAGACAAAAAAAAGAAATGAAGCGCCTCAACTCCGCCCAAGACGACAACATCCCCGTCTATATATTCCTGCTCCTGTTCCTGATCCTGGGGCTGAGTTTTCTGGGAACGTATCTCGAGACGGTCAGCAGCAGCAGCAGCACCACCACCACCACCACTACCAACAGTAACAGCAATAGCAACACCAACACCAAACGAGTGAAATCAACCGTGCGCTTTCGTGCTTAACTACAGTACACCCACCACACAACAACACCTAGATCCAATCCAGCCAAAAATGGCCGGAACATGCTCCATGCTCTGCCTCATCCTCATCACCATCTTCAGTACGCATCAAACTAGCCCAATCAAAACCCCAACCCAAGCAACAACTAACACACTACAAAAGTCCCCCCCCTCGGCGTCTTCCTGATCTCCGGCTGCAGCGCCGATTTCTTCATCAACCTGTTGCTCACGCTTCTGGGGTGAGTCTCCCCCCTTTCAACCCAAACCCCAGCACAAGAAAGCAGGAATCCCATCCCCATCCCAACATGACAACCACGAACACTGCATAAACATATCACCATCACCACAACCACCAACACTGCATAAACATACCACCATCACCACAACCACGAACACTACATGCACCTGCCAAACTAAAACTAAATCTCAATCTCACCAGCTACCTACCCGGCCACATCCACGCCTTCTACCTGGAGTACGTCTACTACCGGAATTCCGATGCGGTGGCGCCGCGCCGCGCGCCGGGGGTGTATTCGGAGCGGATTCAGCGGGGGGCGCATCACCACCACCATCAGCAGCAGCAGCAGGCGGGGTATGGGACGATTTAAGCTGGGGCCGGGGTTGCGGAGCGGTGGGTGGTAGTTGGACTAGGGTAGTCTGGTCTGGTGGATGGTGGTAGGCATTATGCCTGAAGTTTTGTTTTTTGTTTTTTTTTTTTTTTATTTGGTTCTTGGGGGAATCGCTAGCGACGAGTTGAGGAAATTGGGTGGGGAGGATATGATCCATGATATGATTAGCGCTATCCTTATCCTTATACTTGTGCACTGTTACTGTTACTGTTACTGTTACTGTTACCGACGAAACCAGGATGCGATATAACCTAGTGAATCCTTTTATTGAATCCGAGAACCCTTCAAACCTTCCCAAACACCCTAAACAGCAGTCTTCTTCCCCTGCCCCTGCTGCGCAGCCCCAGCCCCAACCCTCCTCAAAGCAGGCAACCCAAACGCATCACTAACCCCCACCCCGCCCTGGGTGCGCGGCACGCTCCCGGACCCCGGACTCCACCACAGCGCCCCGACCCAAGGCTGCACATTCCACCCCACGGCCAAGGTGACATTCTGCCGCTCGGCCATCCTGCCCGAAACATCCCCGATCTGGTACTTGGCCTTCTGGTCGCGCAGCCTCAGGATGCCTGGTTCGGCGTGGGCCTTCGCTTTCGTGGCGGGGGGTTTCCTGCTCCCCGCCTTGCTTTTACTCTTGGTCTTGCTCTTGGGACTGGGAGCAAAGAACCGCTCCTTCAGCGCGTCGAACGAGTAAGCCGATTGCGGGGCGGAGATGATGGTGTCCCAGACGACGGCGTGAGAGACAGCGGAGGAGGATGTGTTGGTCGGGTCGGAGGGGTAGGCGGCGTAGACGTAGACGAAGAGTTGTTTGGTGTTCCAGTTGAAGAGGGGGGTTAGATCTTTTTCTCGGGGTTTAGTCCACCGGAACTGAAACTCGAGATCGAAGGGCAGGGGTAAGGTAAGGTAAGGTAAGCAACGCACCAGCATCCAGATCAAAGCGCAGCTGCGCGTACTCTTCCTTCCGGGTGGAGTAATAATGCGGACGGCCTTTGGTTCTGTGGGCAAATTGGTTAGCTTCGCTGTTGCTTGTTCGGGGTGAAGCTGTCCGCGGAGGTAAATGAACTGGAGGTGTGCTAGCTAGCTAGCTAGCTAGCTAGCTGGGTATATCCCCAGTTTGGATAGGGTCAGACATACACCTTGACATCCCGCAGCTTGACCTGCGACGTGACCCCGTCCGTCGGAAACAGCAGCACGGAGAGTGCGGCCAGCCCGGCGACGAAGAGCGCGACGGTGGTGAAGAAGCCGAAGACGGCTTGGGCGCGGTTGAGGGTCGAGTGCATTGTTCTCCGGCGAGCATTAATGATGTAAAAAGAGGACAGTTCCCTATAAGGGAGGAAGACAACAATCCGAGTGGGATTGCTGGTTGCCGAGAGGCGATAGTGTTGTTGTCGATGACAACGACAAGAAAGCCACCTGGGCCTTTTCTCCACGGGAGCGGAGCTCGGAGATTGTGGCTGGTGAGCAGGGGATCGCGGCTGAATGGGGTTTAGTGAGGAGGTTACTGGGCAGATTACGGTTAGACTCATGGCTTATCGATAAGGTTGTTTTGTATGAGGAGACTGGCCGGGTATCTGGAGAGTACTATCTCAGCCAGTAACTCACCCCTCCTTCCGTTCCATCTGCACGTCCATTGACATCTACACAGGGTGGAATATCTTCAAGTATTGTGCTTACACACTCTCCTTCAGATCATAATCAATCCAAATCCGAATAGTCACCTCCCACCGAACTCAAAACAAACACTTAGTACTCCTTATCAGCTGTATACACCACACAACATAAACAAGCAGCCCTCCACCACCACCATTACCAACAGTACCTACCTAGTACAACCCAAAATGGGCGACCACACCCTCTTCTTCTACGGTACATCCACCCCCCACCCCAGCACCCCAACTTACCCCCCATAATCCCCATACCATGACAAGACTAATCAAGCACAAGGAACCCTAATGTCCCCCCAAATCCTGCACCGAGTAATCCACGGCCGCGCCACACCGGAACCCTGGCAACGAGCGTACCTCACCATCCGGCCCGCGGTTCTCCCCAACTACCGGCGGCACCGGGTGCGGCACGCCGACTATCCGGGGATTGTAGCCGTGGCTGTGGGCTCTGGCTCTGGCTCTGGGGGAGGGTCGTCAGGCGGGGGCATAGGGGTAGGGGAGGGGGAGGAAGGCGTGGCAGCAGCAGCACTTCCCAGCGACGCGGGTAAAGCTGGAACTGACGCAGATGCAAGCTCCGCCTCGGTGCTGGGGACGTTGGTGACCGGGTTGACGGAGGGGGATGTTTATCGGTTGGATTTGTTTGAGGGGGATGAATATACCAAGGTCAAGGTCAAGGTTAAGGTTGGGGTTAAGGGGGAGGGGGAGGGGCACGGGGCTAATGGGGTTGGGGATGAGGAGGAGGATGTACGGGTGGGGTTGGAGGGGTTGGAGGGCACTGCTACTGCACCTGACGGGGCAGAAGCAGAAGCAGAGGCAGAAGCAGAAGTCGAGGCGCTGACGTATGTCTGGACGGCCGGGAGGGAGCGGTTGGAGGATGCCGAGTGGGATTTCGAGGCCTTCAAGAGGGATAAGATGGCTTGGTGGGTCGAGGCGGATGAGCGGGATTGGTGACACTCCAGATTTTACGAGTAGACCTTGTAGAGAAGTCGATCTATCTGTGTCTTCTGTTCGAACCATAATCATAAGTCATGTACATTGAAACAAACCCCCACCCCCACATCGCACGCAAATGCAAGCAAGCTTGGTATCTGGTATCTATGCTACTGCTAAATGTATCCCACAATGTCCCGAACGCCAGAGAGATCGAAATGCAATATCAAAACAACAAAAGGGAAAATCCAGATATATGCTAATCAGCAACATGCACTCAGCATTTCTTAGACGGACTGTCTTTGACAAGCAACGACTTCGAAGGTGTCCCGGGAACCTGGGTCTCAACAACCGTGTCTGGCACAGCCCCACCGTCTTTGTTACCCATCTTACTATCCGACTCCGTGGCCGCGGCAGACAGATGCAGCGGTGTATACCTCTTGCTGACCTCCGACCTAACCGTGGACGGCAACGGAACCGGGGTTACTGGCCGCGTGGTCTCCGACTTCGCCTTCAAGGACGCAGCCGGCTCCTGACTGTCCGGAACTTCGATAACTTCCTGCCGAATCGGGTGCGGACCAGACGGTCCCGTCTCGTCCGTCGTAGACGACACCAGACGAACTTCGTCTGCCGCCTCCCGTTCTTCGTGATCCTTCACGCCCGCCGCCTCATCCTTCTGTTCGCTAACTTGAACATCATCCTTCGAGACCGCAGCTTTCGTCGGTGACTCTGGATCTGGTCGTTGCTCAGGCGCCCGAGACGGGGACTGCATAGTCTGGTTCCCGGTCGCTTTTATCGGCGACTCCGTCTCCACCCCACGCTGCGCTTGCGGCGATACCCAAGGAGACCCTAACAGATAACAGATCGGCTTGCGATCCGCCATGGTCTCCTTGGCACTACTTTCCTGTTTGCTCATCTGCTCCTGTTCATCATACAGCGCGTCGAGAAACTTGCGCAGTCTTTTGCGGAGATGTCCCGACTTGAGCGGTGGCCAGTCGCCGTCCTCCTTCTGGAGTATCTTCCGGATGAACGTGTCCGGGTCCTGCACGAATTTCTCCAAGTACGCCAGTAGATACAACCCGCAGTCGGAGTAGTTGGGCTGCAGCGGAATCTTCTGAGCCGTGATGCCTCGAATGAGCTTCGTGTTGATCTCGACGCCTTTCTTGGATTTCGCCTCCTCGTACAGGTAATCGCGCAGGATTCGGGAGGTAGGACTGCGAGTCACGCCTAACGAGTCGAAGGTGATGATGGTGGGTTGGTTGACGTCGGCTTTGCTCGTCCGCTTCGTCGCCTGTTTTCGCGATGCCTTGGCAGCATCCGAGGCCTTGACGGCCTCTTGCGAACAAGCTGTCTGCGACGACGGCTGCTCCGCCTGAGTTTTGGGGAAGGCCTGCACAGGAATAGACGAAACCTCCTCGCGATCGGGCCACTCCTCCACCGGCGTCCCCTCCTTGGAAGCGTTCTTGGGGGGTTCATCGGCCAAGGTCATCGAAGCCAGCGAATGGCGAGTCTGTTCTTCCTTCGCAGGCTCGGCATCGGGAGCTATCGACGCCCCTTGTGCAGTGCGAGGAACCTCGGGCGGAGGAGTTTCCGGTATCTCTTGGACCTGACTGTCCAACTGAGACGATGACTGCACCTGGCTGGACAGTGGCTCATCGTAGACTTGCGGCTCGGCAAGGTCCTGCAGATTCGGTAAATTGCATATGATGGCAACATACCAATGGGCATGTTCGTTGATGGGCACGACGACGAAATCGTGGTTGAAGATGTCAACGTTCCTGGTCCATTTCTGCACGCCGTCGTAGTTGATGCCTTTCTTCCCCCGTGGCACATTCATGAGAGTGTCATAGAAAAACGAATTGAAGAAATATACTCTCTTGGCCACATCTTCGTTCGTTCGACTGAGGTGTTCCTGCAAAAAGCGGATGTAGAACTCAATGAGATTGTCGTTCAGGAACTCGTCATTTTTGCGAAGTCGGTCACGGTCTTGCATGTTGACCTCGGCCTTTTTCTTCCCGGATCGGGGGTAAACAAGGGGTCTAATGAAGAGTCAGAATTACCTCATGGTGACAGCAGATGATTACATACTTATGCCACTTTTTCACAGGTCCATCGGACTGTGACTGGGTTGACTGGTTCGCTTCATCGTCGTCATCACTTCAGGTAGTCAGTGGACCGACCAGTTGCCAGAACAACAGGGACGGAGTAAGGCTCACCTCACGATGGTGGTCGACGGAAGGCGACGTAACATGGCTCTAGTCTGACGATTGGACGCTGGAAGTGTCGGCGAAGTATGAACCTTTACGGGGATCTGCACACTCCAAGCGGAGGATAGTTTGGATGCGCGAGGACTGACGTCCGGTGAAGACGGGGAGGACTTGGCTGCAGAATTGGAGGGGCCGGGAAGTTCCCGAGGGGCGGTGACTGTGGGGTTTCCTCTTTCGTCTTGCAGAGAGTCTGAGAGGCGCATTCTTTTGACCGGCAACGCGGAATTCTCAGTACCTCTCTGCAGACCTGCAGGCAACGGTCTCTTAAGTCCATAAGGGTGTTGTTTTAGTTCTCTATCGTGAGTGTGAAAGGCTTTCTCCAACCAGGCCCTTGATGCAGTTAGCATTTGGCGTGAGCCCATCCGAGAGGGTGACAGTATACATACTCGTCCTGCAGCAACGGCTCGATATTCCAACCCCGGAGACCATCGGAGAATCGTTCTTTTTCTTCGGCCGAAGAAAGCTCTAGGTCTAACTTCTGATCGAGCCCTTCCATCTTAGACAAGAGGAGTCTGATCTTGCCACTCGGAGGAAGTCCCCCGGTGGCCTTGGTGACTTTACTCAGAGGGAGCTCAAAGCATTCTGCCGGGTCGTTTTGATTATGCAACAAGATAATCCCTCGCTCAAGGTCCATGAGAAGCTCGACACCATTTCTTTGATCAGCATGCTGCTCAATAGGCCCAAAGCGGGCATAGATGATCCCAAACGACTTTGTAGTGGAGGCTGCTTTATTAGTAGTGTACTTCTGCTTCTTCCCCTTCAGTCCGCGCTTAGTTTTGGAGGGAGTAAAGACCGTGTGTTGGATATCGGCCGGTGACGATTGCCGGTGCTCTTTCTCCAGGGCTACTTGATTATCAATCTCGCCCTTTCCCGGAATTTTCTTACTCCGGCGCACCTCGACCGTGACTTGCAACTCGTCCGGACTGTCCTGTGACTCGGATGGGTCTCTAGTCCTCGTAGGCGAAGCCAGGCCGTTTTGACGAGGTGAACGAGCCAGTGCACCTTTACCAGGATTGCGATTCTTGGAGGGGGAAATCTCCACACCTCGGAGGACCTCATGCTTGGGCGCACGCTTCGAGCCGTCGATCCTGGAAAAGCCACCATCATCCGAGGAAGCTCGACGACGCCTCTCAGCCGCGGCATCCTCCGTGAAGCGTTCCTCGCGGGCATCGTCGGCCCGAGAAGCCGGGGCGGGATGTTTCTTGCCGTGCTTAGCATTGCCCTTCCTGTGCTGCTGCTGCTGCTGCTGCTGCTGCGGGGGTTTGACGTTCTTCTCGACACCGCGAAACTCTTCCAGGGCAAATAAGTTATTCCGCGTCTTTCTCAACTTGGCTGATCGGTGGCTCGAGGTGGGAGACATACGTGACGGGTGTGTGGTAGGGGGAGAGGTATCCAGCGCGGGGTGCGCATCGGTCTCCTTGTCGACGAGGCCGAGAATGCTTCCAGACCGTGACGGCTCCGGGGCGGCGCGATGACGGGGACGTTTGGTCGGCCTTTCATACGGGTGAGTCTCGTGGGGACGGATCTCCTTCTTGCTGGCACGGACTGGTCCACTTTGTCGGGCCTTGCCCGATATGCGATCCACGATCTTGAAAGGGGAGTCCTTCACGTCCAAGGAGACAAAAGGTCAGCAGGGTTATCTCAACCATGCGATCCAGAACGTCAAGGAGAAACAAACTCACCCCTATCTTTTTTCTCTTCGGCATGGTTTGTCCGGGGATTATGGGTACTCCATTGGGGTCATCTGATCTAGATCGCAAGCATGTATCAGCGCTGTACCAAATCCACTCATTGAGCCTTGAGCCCGCGCGTACCGTAAGTTGCTGGGGAAGAGTCTTATCTCGTCTTCTAAAGTTGCTTGATTGTGGTAGTGGGGGCGAATGGGCTTGTCGTCGGGTCTGGTTGTATCTTGCGGCATTAGCCCGTTGTTCAGCATGTGCGGACATACCGAGAACATGTGCGACTGCTTGTACTTACGAACGAACCATCCTCCTCCCCAGATAAAAGAAAAAAAATTGGGTCTTTGGTTGCTATAAAATCAAAACGTACGGTAGGAAGCCTTCTCAAGACTTAAATCCCGTAGAGAAAATCACAATGATGTAACGGACGTCTTAGTCCGTCAATTGGAGCGGAAAGTCGCATCGGATAGCGGAGGGCAGTGTGGAGGAGGCAGACAAGAAAGCACAGCGCAGCACACCGTATATGAGTTCCGGCTGGAAGGTGTGCAAGGCGGCGCGGGGGGATTAAAATAGAATGGAAGTCTCAAGGAGCGGGACAACTTCCCAGCAATGGTCATTGCGCGACCGAACGGTTACAAAGAGCGTTCATAACTCTGGATTTAAAAAAAAATTGCAGAGCCGCAGGACGAAGAGGGGAGTTTGAATTGACAGTGACAAGAAACGCATCATAATGGGGGGAGAGAGGAAAGGCGGTGGGGAGGGGAAGGGAGGGAGTTTCTGCCCACCGCTTTGTGGAACTGCGAACTGAGGCACCGTTTTTTTCTTTTTCCTTTTTTTTTTTTTTTTTCCTTGTCTTTTTTTCCCTTTCTTCTGCCGTTTTCCTCTGTTTTTTGTTCCTTAATTAGCCTGCTTCCCTCCCTTTATCTCCCCTAATCAACTCCCGCCGGAAGGATGCGTTACTGCACCACGGGGCACGGAGCCACTGGCAGCATGGCACTATTATGCCGGTCATCCTGTGTGCACTAGACCAGACTAACCAGTAACCAACCTTAACTTAGTTGAACAAGTCATTCTCTACGCTAAACCGAGCTCCAAGGTACTATTTTCTGTAACTATACAAAGAATGCATCTCAGCCCTAAGTTTCATGTTTTGGCCTTGAAGGCTAGAATAACAACCCATTCAAACATTCCCCAAGAATAGTATACTGAACCAACAAACCCACCAGACCCTCAATCTATGACAGCTCACATCTACGTACTTGTACTTACTCGGTAAGTCGGTCCCCCGTCTGCCACTAACCCTAAACCGCTTGGATGCATGCATCCGAAGTGTTTGGGGGGGAAGGGGAGATCTATCTTATCGCAGATCTTGACCGGGCTTATGAAACCAACCCAGTTGTTGCGGATGCACTACCGAGAAATACGGTAGTTGTAGCATAGAATACATGATAAAATGCGTATTGAATAGACCGGTCTGTATCTTCTTGATTCGCTATGGCTTCGGCTCAAGAGGAGCACTAAGGGAATTCTCTTGACAAAGACTTTAACCGTCGCTGCAGAGGAGCAAGCAGGATATAGCACAGTGATCCTGGAAATAGTTTGCGTCATAGCATGCAGGGCGCAAGTGTGTAAATACTCGAATCTATTCGTACGGAAGACTCAAATCATCAGTAATTCCAGTAGTTACTAACGCATGTCTTCATCCCATCACATTTGACAACCATATCCCACAGTCCACAAACCCCATCCCAGATCATAACATCAGATGGCATAGCGTAGCATAGCATAGCGTAGCATCTCGCGTGTCATTCGAAACTAGTGAGAATAGAAGAGAAACAATGCGACACGAACACCCTCCGGACAATAAAAACGTAAGATAGAAAATCAGATCAGACGCAATGTTCGCCCCAAATGCCCCCGATCCCAATTCGTCCCAATGAGTTTTGCGTGGAAAGAAAAAAAAGATTTCCTTTTTTTACTATACAGGACCCATATGACCCAGGCTGGCTGAAAAGAGAGAAAAGAGAAAAGAGAGAGAAGAATAAAGCATGGCGATCAAGGCAAAGCGGCCTTGCCCTTGTGGTCGGACTCCTCGCTAGCCGTCGTCGGGGCTCGTCGTCGATCTCCCCCCAGTTGCTGCTGCTGCTGCTGATGGTGGTGTTGTTGTTGGTTGTTATTGTGGTGATGGTGGTGATGGTGGTGCCCGGTGCTACCAGCGGCCTTATCCTGGCGAGCCTGATCGATCGCCGAGCGTTGAGCGATGCTGTCGTCGTGGCTCTTCCAGACGATGTTGGTGTCGGTGGGGAAGTTGAGTAGACGCTTGATAGTTTCGCTGCAGTCGATCGGGTTAGTCCAAGAACCTTGGGAATTTCGAAACGAACATACCGAATCTTAATGTTCCGTCCCCCATCGATCCGAGTCCAGACATTCAGCACATCCTCCCCACTGCGCACACTCAAGACAGCTCCGCAAACCTCGTCGCCCGCTTCCGCAAACTGATCCCCAACCATAGCCAGGAGCAGGTCCTCCCAGTACCGGTCCGCCACGCCTTTCTTCAACCGCACCACCCACTTGCCACCCTTCTTGTTGGCATCGTCCTCCCAGACAGGACGGATGCCCTTCTTAAAGATGTGGTAATCGGAGACGGTAGGAAGGAGAGATGGTCTCTTGAGGTGCGAGTAGACCGACCAGAAACTCTCCACCGAGGATATCGCGGCGAGGGGGACGGTGGACTTTTCGTAATCGGAATACTTAGGGGTCGGCGGGCGGTACCAAATCACCCATGTGGACTTGAGCGGATGTTCTTTGATCGCGAACGCGACCTTGGCTTTGGCGCTTTCCGCCGTAAGTTCCTGGTCGACAGGGTTCTCCCGTTTCTCGAACCCAGGAGTCTTGACGTCGGAAGCTCCGGGAGTCTTGGGGGCTCCGAAAGACGCGAAGGCACCGGAGCCCAGGCCGAATGCGGAGGAGGCGTTTGTCGAAGGAGAAGAGACGCCGCCCGATAGAGGCGACAGGGCGTTGAAAGGGTTGGATCGACCACCGTGGGAGCTATCTGGGCCAAACCGTTTCGAGGCGCGGGGAAGTTCAACTCTAGCGCCGTCCGACCCTGTCATCGACAGAGACAACTTGGAAGCGCTGTATGAGAACATATTGTTAGTTCTATTCAATTTTATCTCGACCTCGCCAAGCGGCCAAGGTAAATCACCAAGCGCGAACTCGTAACATACTTAGATCTGCGGGTCCAGAGGTTTGCGTTATCCATGGATGTACTAGCTACTGAGACAGCTCAGAAAAAAACGAGCGGTCACCGGCGGAGGCAGACAGGATCGGGCGGGGCGACGAAATAGTACAGAAGAATAGGAACCCGAGAACACGAAGAGGAGGATCGAACAATGAGGCCAGTATAGACGGAGAAAGGTGTAGGCAGGGTTTAGAAATTAGGTTCAATTAGGTTCAAACTGGGGCGAACGGAGCGGGCAAGAGGGGAAGAACTTTCGGTCCAAAAGAGAGAGGAGAAGAGAAGTCAAGGAAGAATAATCGTGATCGTGATCGTGAACGTGACGAATGGGAAAATGCGGGGGGGGGGGGTGTGTGTGTGAGGGATGTGATCTGTAGGATTTAGTCTGTTGTATGAGGAGTAGGAAGATCGGAGGCGAGGGAGGGGTGGGAGGAATAGTGTGGGAAGATCGGAGAAGTGGAAGTGGAAGTGGAAGTAGTGGTGGTGGTGGTGGTAGTGGTGGTGGTGGAAGTTGCAAGTGGAAGTGGAGTGGAAGAAATGCGGAATTGGGAATTAAACCTGCTGGAGAGGAAGAGAAAGAGAGTGGAAGGGAAGAGAGAGAGAGAGAGCAAAGGCAGAGATCGGAGTGAGCAGTGAAGAACCAGAACGGCAGAGAACAACGACTGGAACCCAAGTCAGTTTTCTGCCGTCAAGCTTCTTCCTGCCTCTCCTAACCAATCAACTCTCTGCCCCGCTGCTTTTCCGCCTCCGTGGTTTTTCCAGCTCCGTCCCGTTCTCTCCGTCCATATAAAATCCTCGACTTCTTCCCGTTCCTTTCCTCTCCTTTTCTTTTTTTTTCTTTTCCATAACAAACCCAAGACCACCAACTCAAATCATCGCTGGTTGCACTATTGTTTGATTCTGTCGAATTATCTACTGCACTGGCGACTCCGATGAGTGTGTCGAGAACGAGCATCAAGACCCCGCATCTAAAACCATCATCACGAGGGCTCTTCTCAGGGCTCCATGATGCGGTGATGACCTGATTGACGGGACATTCCCTTTTTTTTTGCATCCAGACTGGAATTGTGGTGGATTCGGCAGGCAGTACTCGTAGTGAACTCTGCTCTATAATGCAAGGGCATCGTAATCGTCTTTTCACGGATTTGGTGCGTCCGTCACTTTTCCTTCTGCTCTCGGACCTTAAGGGTCTCTACCATGATGAAGCTCTTATATCACATACTCTGGTAATCCGAGGTGCTCAACCGCGTGGATTGGCCTGACTTGGCTATGCGCTGGTAGAGTGTGAGGTGAAAAGGCATTTCTGATTGTCGTAATAATCTTACGTCCCGAGCATTGGTTGATGCTTGCAACGTCATGCGGTCGCTTGGTTACTGACAAGGCCCGATCATAGGGCGGGAGCCGACTGTTTGATGCTTAGCAGTTGTTTGATGCTTAGCACCCTACAACACTCTACATAATTCTACACCTCTTGATCTATGTCTCAGATCGACAAGTACTCTGCCTTCGAATTTGAGATATTTGTTTGAATGTCTTCTTTAAATCAGGTGAACAATGCCATTCGCAAGGGGAATCGAGCAGCAACCGGTGATGACTGGACGAAACACAAAACTATAACACCCCCTCGACTCGTCTGAAACATGGATAACAAATGCATGCATGGTGTTCCAATCGTGTCGCACAAAATATGATAAAAGGGATTATAATGCTACCTTGGAATTACTGGACGAGTCAACTGGCCCAACCTCTGAATCGTCAGTAGGCCTGGAAGCTTGAAGGACATTCATAAGTACAAGAATATCGAAATCATGTCATCAGCAAAGGGTCAAAGTACTTCGTAGCTACCCCAACCCAGCAAATCGTTATAAATAGATGCAGCAACCTACTACTCGGCAGGCTGTGCGGAGTCTGACTGACGTTCGGAGCCAGCCTTGATGCGCTTGGCGTCCCTGTCACTTTGGGGTGCCAGAGGAGCCACCTTGCGCTTCTCTTTATCCCTCTGGTACTCTGCCCGGCGTTCTTTGTCCTTCTCTCTGCGGAGGGCCTTAGACTCAAACTCGTGCCAATCACCCTCAATGTTCTCGAGCCTAAAAACCATCAGTTAGGTTTCAATATTAAATCAAGCCAAGGCACGAAGACTTACTCGATAGCTTGCTGAGGCCGTGGCTCCTCCGTGGTGAAGTATGGGTGCGCCAATATCTGCCCAGTGGTGGGTCGTTTCGCAGGGTCATACTGGAAGACCTGAGATATAAGATCGAGAGCTGCTGGCGAGAGGATTTCGCCGTAGACCTCCTCAAAGATCCTCTTCTTCCGCTCCGTCGGGCGCATTAGCTCGAACCAAGGCATCTCAATCAAATCTGGCCATTCGGCGCGGTTCGGGGTGCCAAGGCAATTGTAGAGCTTGTCAAGTTGACTTATCTCCCCTCCCTCACCCGGGAAAACAGCCTTCTTCGTGAACATTTCAACATATACGCAAGCCGCACTCCAGACATCAACAGCGGGACCGTACCGAGTCTCACCAAGTAGTAGCTCCGGTGGTCGGTACCAGATGGTGATGACACGGTTCGTATAATCTAGCTGGCGACTTTTGGAGAAGAATCGTGCTAAGCCAAAATCGGCATACTTCAGCTGCCCTCGGTTGCTGATCAGGATGTTAGCAGCCTTGATATCACGGTGCATGACGCCTCGGTGGTGGAGATAATCTAAGCCTTCAAACATCTGCTTGGCGAGGTCCTTCTTGTGCGCTTCTGTTAGAGTGAAGGTCGGGTGGTTGATCAAACCAGTCAGGTCGTGCGAGAGGTATTCAAACACCATGAAACACTCATTCCTCTCCACCATGACTTCTAATAAGCTGACAACGTTGTTATTGCGAAGATGTTGAAGCAGCTTGATTTCTCGAACGGCGGTCACAGGGAAGCCATCCTTCTCACCCTCCATTCTGATCTTTTTGAGCGCAACTTTACGCTGGGTGTACACATGAATCGCCTTGAAAACCTTGCCGTAAGTGCCTGCACCAATGACCGATTCATTACCTGGTTTTCGGTAGTATACAGAATCCGAATTTGCGAATTCCTCAGAAAGAACGGGGCGTGGTTTTATGCGGGTCATAATCTTGATTTGCTTTCTCGGCTCCGGAGAGCGCTCGGGACGGCGATCACGGCGGACATCCTGTCTCCGATCTCCTCGAGGTCTTTCGGTGCGAGGAGAATCGAATCGGTGGTCGTCCCGTCTACCCTCACGCATACTTCGGGGCTCTCGGGGCCCACGAGGTTCTCGCGTGTCGCGATAATTGCGGGAGTCTCGGAAGTCTCTTCTGTCATTTCGTGCACGGTCACGCTCTCGCTCACGCCGGTCACGTTCGCGTTCGCGGTCACGCTCACGGTCGCGGTCGCGGTCGCGGCGATCAAAGCGAGGCTCGGATTTGAACTTTGGCGGTGGGCCGACCGGCATCCTGTTGCGTGAAGGTGGCTCGGCGGCACGCTGAGGTGGCTCTCGAGCTAGCATCCTCTGAGCTAGGTCGGGAACCGGCTTGGGAGCTGGGGCAGGAGCAGTCTTGGCCTTGAAGGCGAAACTTATTTTGCCTCCCTTGTTTGGAGTAGCAGAAGCAGCAGATGGTTGCATACCCGGGGGCGGATTTCTTTGAGAATCACCATTGTCGGGATCGGCTCTAGACCTGTCGATATTTGCTCGTGAATCCTGTCGTGAACGTCCATATTGATCACTATCGTCTTTGGCACCTGATCTTGCCCGATCACCCGCTGGTGGAGGTGAGGGACTGTGTGACGGCCCATACGGTTCATTAGGGTTTGACGGGTCCGCTTGACCTCGCGAACTCGGTGTATTCCAGTGAGATTTGTTGAAATTACCTCTTTCCCGAGGAGAAGGCCCACCTGTGTTGCCATGATGGTTCCCCCGATATCCCGAGTTCTCATCGCGGTAAGTTGGACCTGGGGATGGTGATGAACCACGATTATGTGAAGAATGGTGTGGTTGCTGATACTGATTCGGCGAGTCCCCCGTGGCGTATTTATCTTGCCGTTGTGGTGAAGAGCGGCTGATTAAACACCGTGGTTAGATTTGCCTTGTAGAGAAGAAAATCTCAAAAGCCGACTTACACGTGGGAATTCTGGTACGATGATTGTTGTCCGGGCCAGTCACTCCGGTCCTTCGAGTAAGGGGATGTGGACTCGGCGTGGGGTTTGGGAGATGCCGTATGATGTGATGATCTTGAGACATGGGAACCATCTCCTGATGGCCGAAAATTTCTCGGATGCTGGTCATTAGAAGCATCAGACACACGTCTTCCTCGAGTTGTATTACGCGTGGCTTCTCCCTTGGATATTTCCCCGGCGGGATTAATATCAAAAACTGACGGCTCTCGGCGAGGAGAGGAAGACTTGTGTGAATCGCCTCCCGAAGGTCGAGTCGATCTCGTCGAATCCATCATGGGCTCACCTATTGAGTTCCGATGTGAGTCTCCGGAGTATCTCGAAGCCACAGATTGAGCAGAATGACGGGATAGTGAGCGGTAGCGGCGTTCGCCCTGGGGCTCGTCTTCGAAGGACGGGCTGTGTGGGCGTCGAGAAGGATGAGAGTATGGCTTTCCTCCGCGGACTGGCGACCTCGAGCGTCTCGAGTGTGGGGACACAGGGCGGCCTCCGGCCTTGCGGCGTTCCCTTCCTCGTCGTGACCCGGGAGAAGGCCTCCGGCCACCTCTACTGCGTCCTGAAAAACGGCCTCGCCTGTTCGGTGGATATCCACGGTCCAGCTCGTCGTTGGGGTTGAAAGAAGGTCGACGATGTCCTGGCCGGTTGGAGTGTGAATGAAACCCACCGGGGGACGGGCTCCGTGTTCTCTTACGTTTCGAAGATGGTGGTGCAGATGGAGAGTCGTTTCGTCGAAGGCCTTTGCCGGCAGGTCTATCCGTGTCTACCGACCGGTGCGCTTGCGAATCAGGACGAGTCGCGGGATTGGGTGATCGGTGACGAGCTGACTTCTGGCCAGGGTAGGTGTCAGGGGGCGGAAGACCGGATGAGCCACGACGAGAGATAGGAGGTGAAAACTCGCGGTGCGGACGTGAATCGTCGTAAGAAAGATGGGAACGCGGAGGCGGCGACCGTAGCGAATAATCAGGTCTGCCCTCCTTAGGGCGGCGGCGAGGCTCCCGATCGCGAAATTTATCCCTACCCCGATCACGATAGGAACCTCGAGGTCGATGATTCCGTTCCCGATCTCTGTGATCTCCAGTGTCGTTGGAGGCTTTCCACTCGTCTCTCAACACCGGACTCCTGCGGGACCCAGCCATGTAAGCTGCTTCAGCTGCATCTAGTTCCAAGCAGAAGAGAAGGGAGAGAGGCGGCAGGGATCAAGACGACCGACCCGCTAGAGAAAGAGACGGTTCGCATGTAGATGTCAGCGCGAGAGAAAGTCCGGTGGAGCCTAGTTAGTGTACTGTATCTTGTCTAGGCGATTCAGGTTTGGGATTGGGTTGGAGGGGGGGGTGGGTGTGGGTGTGGGTGGGCGTGTGCCGGCCGCGTTTCTCAGAGAGGATTCCTTCAGTGCTGGGGATTGGGTGGTGCGGAAGACTGGTTTTTCCGGGTGAGATCGATAGACTCGATGGCGGTGGTAGATTGTTGAGGATCAGACGAAAAGCAAAGGCGGACTGTCAAGAAAAAGAGAAGAAAAGTTAATAGCCGTGGAGACAATACTTTCCATAGTGAAGAAGGCAATAGAAAGGGTCTCGTTAACTCAAGGACAGGAAAGGGAAGGGAATGGAAGGGATAGACGTACCTTTCCGTTCCTGTTTTGTATGCTATCCGCTTGAATAGAGTGAATTCACAGCGAAAGGATAAGAGGGGGATGTGGTGTGGAATTCCTCTTTAAGGCGGGCTACCAGTACGAAGAACACCACCCGTTGATGGAAGTGTGGTGCTGGATGGAGTTCTACTTATCGGCGGGAAGTGACTGGCAAATGACTGGACTTCTCTTCTTTAATAGTGAAGAGTCAGTCAGTCGACCGAGTCAAAGCGGGCGACTTTCTTGGGCGAGCCAGAATCCCATGTCCCGCCAGTCCCAGTATTGCTGCGTGGCTCTTACTACGATAGTGAGTTGCTCTCACGAGATGAAGGGCACTTCACCCACCACATGATGAGCGGGCAAGCAGAGGGTTGCCCCCGAGCAATCGAAACTTGATCTCCAGTTCCTCGCACCGGGGCTGGGACCGACTTGCGATGTCGAAATGCCCCTAAGTCGGATTGCCGCCGAATGGGAAGCGCTTCAAGTCAGCCTGGCAGAGCCCCCGACTTCTTCCATGGCTATTTTGCCTGGGTGCTGTGCTTGATGCGATTATGCAACCAAGACTTTTTTTTTCTTTTGCACTTGTCGTGATGCAGACAGAGCTGGTCTTGGGTCGCTGATTCGATCCTTCTCCTGTGACTTCAGTTTGAGCTGCGGCTCATTGTCGGTCGTTCTGCTGCCAATCCTTTATGTCCTTCCCCGCCTCTTCACCAAATAGCTTGTCCACGCGCCACCTGTTGTGCGAAGCACATTCCCTCGGTGTCAAAAAAGAGGAACCTATCTACAAGAACCATATATACCCAAACGCAAATGATGTGGATCAACAGAGGAACCAATCCGACCGAAGTGAGTCATTGCAGCATTGCACAAGGTCGATTTCCTGCAATACTCAGTCGCTAGATCAACCAGGTCGACTTAGCAAGGCAGCATTCGATAAATATTGAGGAGAGCGAGCCGGTAAAAGCACCACACGGTTCGGGATAACGAAGATTGTTGGCCGTCTCAATCCTCCGCTGTTATACTTGCTCGGTTGACTGTCCCGAGGAAGCTGCCGGTGTATACAACCGTTCAGCGGCGAATAGACATAGCGCGATCCCAGCTTGGAAGGGCCCGAGCCATCTTCGAGCAAAAAAGCACGGTTATGATAGATCAAAGGACAAACTCCCCGATATTTACTCGAAGATTCACCAATGTGCCATATGTGAGACTGAGCTTCGCATGAAGCGAGCATCAGCTCGAGGCGGGAAACAAACGACTGAGATCTACCGAAATCCCACGTAGAATCCAGGAATCGGACGATAGGCAAATACTCGTCCAGCCTTGGGATGGCTGGGCCTATCTGAAATCAAGGCAATACGTACCCAGACACCCATGCTAGGATGGGGTGACATCGGAACAACCCAGTCCCTCAGCTTGAGGGATCAACACTTGCCAGTCTGTCACACTGTTGGCTGGCAACGCGCAGGAAGTCTATAGCGCACACAAGTTTAAGTGAATGTTCGCTATACTAAGCTGGTCGTAGAGATCATCAGGGAATTTTGAGTCGGCAGAGGGTCGAAATGCTGTCGGCCTTGATGAGCAAGTGGGCGGTCGGGATGCGGAAGAACATTGGGTTTCCAGCTCAGGCAGGGTTCACTGTCAAGGAGCGAATGAACATGGCGGAGATCGACTCGAGAGATCCCAGAGAGCACTATGAGAACCTCAAAAGACAGAATCAACATCTAAGAACACTATCTCGGCACCTTCGTCGCTGAATAGATGACAAGAGGCTGGTCTGTTGGGGGGGCAGACTGCGGGCAGACTGGTGTGTCTTGTTGACTTGATAACAGGTCAAGGGTTGTCGTAAGCCGGAAACCACGGGGGGAGAAGTTCAACCCGCTCGCCAATCACGTGCACGGGGCTCGGCAGCCGGATTTAGTGAAGTCCGTGTTTGACGGGTTTGTCTGGATGCCCACTAACTAGTTCACTACCTACTACCTACAGTGCTTCTACGAGATATCATGGATCGACTTCGCTACAATTCTATGTGGCTGTTGAAAGTGCAGACATAGTGTGCTTATTTGCTCAGGTACAAGGTCACTTGATTGGCAATGATGCACCAAATCGATCACAGCCAGATGCTACTCCTAGTTTACCAATGATCTCCTTCGCAGTCGCTCAACCCACACACTGACACTAAAACCTCCTGCAACAAATATAGATTGGCGAGTGCCATCAATAATCTCGCAAGACAAATCCCCTGTATCATGTCAAGCCCGTTCTTTGACTGCCTTTCTGTGCTGGTTACGTGGCTCTTTCATTCAAGGCTTTGACGGCACATTATGCAGAAGACAATTCCGGCCGTGATCAAACGGAGATAGCCCGTCTCTCTATGATTGAGACCTCGGAGAGATATAACATCCATCGGACATCGGACCAGAGTTAAGCTATTCCGAAGCTGCTTGGTGACTAAGAAAATATGCTTGACAAGGAAGGCCGTGTTTCATGTTGAAGAAGTAGCAGCGCCCTACGATGGAAAGTCGTCGTCATCTTATCCACTCCCCGTTTCTAGTCGTGCAGAAGCGGAGGTGGAGCATCAGAAACAAGAAGAAATGGTAGATTAAGCTTACCTCCAGCTCCAATGATGTTCCTTGGCGTACGATAAGATCGAACGGTTCCTGGCTCCCGTTTTGCTGCTGCGGAGACTTTCCTCTTCCCAGCGATTTTTCGCAGATCAGCTTCGAGAAGGCCGGCTAGGCCGTCAGACAATGTGGTGGATAAAGCACTAGCATGAGGTTGTTGAAAGTTGATACACCAGGATGGGTCTTCTTCGAGTGCGTGCAACACCGACACAGACTCATGCGTCGTCGTGATGTGGATCTATTCTAGAATCACACTTTATTTGGTTTATTCTTTCTTAGGAAGTCAGGAGGCTTCATCTGAGGTATAAAATGTGCCATCCTCCTGTTGCTACCAGCATGAACACATACACATTCCATTCTTTTATTCCATACATTCCTTCGTCCTTCATTCGACTCCATTGCAATGAAGTCTGCTGCGCCTCTCCTTACCGTGGCCACGCTGGCAGCGGCCAAAAGGAACTGCAGTGTCGAGAGCATTGCCCCGTTCCTGCCCGAAAACTCTACTGTTTTCTATGCGGATCATTATGTCAAAGGAGCCAACTTCACTCCTCCCATCAAGTACAACTATGGGTTGACTTCTCTTCCCACGGGGAACAACCCCTATGAGGTCTCTGTCGATAGCTGTGTTGCCCAGGCCAACATCACCCTGCCCAACAACACTCAGCACAGCGTCGGTATCGTGCTTCCTGATGAGTGGAACGGTCGGTTCATGGCCGTTGGTAACGGCGAATTCTCGGGATCGGTGGGATGGTCTTCCATTATGAACACCGCCTGGTATGGCTTCGCCAGTATCTCCACCGATACCGGCCACGAAGGCAACAACGGCAGCTTCGGGTACCACAATGAAGCTGCTCTGACCAATTGGGGCTACCGTGCCCTCCACGACGCTGTTGTCAACGGAAAGCAAGTGACGGAGGGATACTACGGTCACAACATCTCCTACAGCTACTACCGTGGATGCTCCGCTGGTGGCAAGCAGGGCATGAAGGAGGTCCAGATGTTCCCCGATGACTTCGATGGTGTCATTGCGGGAGCGCCAGCCTGGTGGACCGACCACCAACAGCTGTGGAACGTGCTCACTGCCATCTGGAATCTTCCAGAGACGGCCGACTACCACGTCACCGATGCACAGATGACGGCGGTGCAGGCTGAGATGCTGAAGCAGTGTGACCCCCAGGATGGGCTGAAGGACAGCATCCTCCAGAACCCCTTCGGCTGTGTCTTCGATCCTGTCCCAGTGATGTGCAATGCCACCTCCTCCAACGACACCTGTGTGACGCCCGCCCAGCTCACCACCGTCAACAAGCTGTTCAACCCCTGGGTCGAAGCCAACGACACCTTCATCTTCCCTGGATACACGCTGGGTACCGAGGTTGGCGCTCCTACTCTGGACGACGACTTCGTCACCTACATCCAGTACATGCTCCAGATCGGTGGAGACTGGACCTGGGAAGACTGGAACCCCGATCTCGTCGCTCTCTCCGAGAAGCTGAACCCGGGCAATGCCACCGCCGACGACTTCGACATTTCCCCTTTCTACAAGAAGGGCGGCAAGCTCCTTCACTACCACGGCTACTCCGACCCGTCGATCGCGTCCAAGTCCTCCCTGTACCTCTACAACCATTACCAGGAGGCTCTCCGGCCCCAGGGCATCCCCGTCGATGACTTCTACCGTTTCTTCTTCGTCCCCGGCATGGAGCACTGCACCAGCACCCCCAGCGACCAAGACGCCCCCTACTACATGAACGGAGACAGCCAGGCTGGCTCCCTGTCCGGCACCATCTTCGGCGTGCCCGGCTTCAACGACAGCAAGCACGATCTCATCCTCGCCATGGTGGACTGGGTGGAGAACGACAACGCCCCCGACTACCTGATCCCCACCAAGTAC